TGTCTTTCCTTTCTCATTCTCATCGTCAAAAGTCAAAACAAATCTGTCACTTTTTTTTGTTCTTCACTTGCAGAAAAAAACAAAAGATTTCAATGGCAAATCAAATTCATTACCAACAAAATCTCTCTCAGTTTCAAGTTTTTAATTTGAAGTCCTAATACAAACACATAAACTTTTTTAGAACCACAACACACCATGATTTCTTTATCTTTTACCACAAACAACGTTGAACGTGTTTTGGAACGTGTTGCAGAGAGAATCCAATTTTTCTATTTTTTGTAAAGCAACGTTGCAAAGAGATCCCAAATTTTCTAGACAATGTTGGAGATAAGTTTTTTTTGTAAATCCAGTTTTCCTATTTTTGTTTTAAAAATCTCACCAAATCATCCAATATTATCTCTTAAATCTCACCAAATAACAAACTAGTATTTCCTTTTCTAAAATGAAAATTCTAACAATTCCACCAAAAGTATCCTAAAAAATCACATAACTTTCTCAAAATCCAAAATTTCCTAAATTCCACCAAATCCACCCAAATCTTTAATTCAATACACCCCCCTAAATGAATCAACAACCCAAAAACCCCAAACATCTCATTGTTATACCCTTTAAGTGATGGAATATATTCCCACTTTTGAGGCATCACGTCTTTATCCTTGCAAATCTGCAATTAGATATTAAGAAGTTTATAAGTAACTTGATCACATATGAAGTTATATGAGAGTAGTAAAAGTTGTGCAATACCTGAAGTCCCATTACACCATCAGTTGCTAAGAGAGACATCATTCCGAAATCAGAATGTGCTCCACATGCATATATTCCTTTCGAGGGATCAGACTTCCCTAAAATATAACAAAAAGGAAGAAAAATGAGGATAAGTATGACATTGACATACAAAGCTAATGCAATTAAGAAAATACCTTCATAGTGAAACAAGACCATATCTGCAATTGGATTTCCCAGCATCTCCGGTGTATTGAAATAATCCACATCCAAGTCGAGCGCCAAAGCCATTATTCTCGCAATAGACTTACAAACCCTCCTGATCATGTAGAAGGGCTCATCATAAGTATACAGTTTGAAAAACTTTCTTCCTTAAGAGTTCCACGGAAAATATATGTATGGCACCTAGTATAGTATAAGAAACAAAGAATTATATACTTATTTATTGTCAATTAATTTTAAGATGCATATCCATAAATTTTGACATGATGCTAGAGTTCAGAATTCTAAATATTTGCCTAAATTTTTTTTTTTGATTTTTATCATCTTTAAGCAAAGATAGTGAAATATCATTGTTTACTCAATAGTATTCGTGACCAAACCAAAGTAACTGAAGTCGCTTAGGGAATTCTATAAATGGAATATTTTTTGTTTAAATCAAACTTTCCAACTAAATTTTTATCCATCAATCATTGGGCATTAGCAAATTTTCCCACATGATTTCCCTATTTAAACATTTTCTAAGAAAAAGATGACACTTACAATGCTTCTTGATAATATTTCTCCATGGTCTCCCGCCATCCGGGCAAAACGTCTACCAAAAACATTAGAGTTTAATTAAAGAATAAAGCATAAATTAAAAACAGTGACACGGCAAAATCTAACCAGAGTTAGGCCAAATGTTGGGGCTATGGAATGGTTTATCCCCATGGGGACCATCTTTGCCACCTTCGAACCCAATGGTAAAACCCTCTTTGTAGTCCCCTAAACCCCATGACGTTACAATAAGAGTGAGATTCATGAACAACAATACTTTTAGCAAAAGCAAGCGAAAGCTGATCAGACGAACCTCGGAATTGGTTTTTAGGGTCTAAGAGAGAATCGTGAAATGGTGCATAGCCTCGATACTTTTCATTTCTCAAGACTTTCATTTTCTCCTCCAAAGGAAGAGCAAAAAACTTCTTGCTCTGTTCAAAAGCCTCGTCCTTCAGTTCCTCGCTTATACCATGATTAATGACATAGAAAAATCCACTATCGAGACATGCCTGGAACAAGAATATAACAAATAATGACGGAACCAATAATGTTTTTCGCAGAAGTTATAATGTTCATACCATAATCAATTTTAAGAAAAATAAATGGAAATAGACCTGCTTGAGTAAAACAGCTGATTGATGAAGATTGGAGTTGTCGAGATCTATGCAAGTAAGGGCAGAAACTTTGATGATTGATACCTTATCTTCCTCAGTTTTATTCTCCATTTCTCTATCACTCGCTAGTCTTTCTTTGGATAGGAAATATACAAGTTTTGTCCTTGTTTAGCTTATCTTATAGCCAGCGATGCCACTGCCATATATGTATTAACCACAGCCGCTTGGCTCCACGTTTTAAATGTTCAATTGGAAAATATCAAATTTATAATCTTTTTTTTAATTCGAAAAGTAAAGAGAAAGGATCAATAATGTAAATACTTGATTTTCAAAAACAGGTCATGTTGTCAGGTTCGTTGGCCATCTTTACGATCACATATGAACCTGACGAATCTTATCTCCCAAATCTCATTTGCACTCCAAATTTTGATAGATTTATAGAATTTGGTAAAATATTGCATTTAATAAGTTTTTATACCTTACTGATCACTTCAGTCTTCAAGAATAGCGAAAATGCTAAAGACTTAAGTAAGTATTACTAGCTCAAATATAGTTCAAACACATAGAAGCCCAAAAAATTCTTATAAATTAAGTAACCCACATTTACCATGACTGCTCATCCAATCTAGTTTATTACATATATATGAAAGTCGAATGTCTCTTTCGATAAGATATAAAGTTCGTTATGAGCATATGTTGCAAGAAGTAAATTTTTTATCTAGAGTTAATAGTTCGAAGCAAAAAATGCAAGGTTTTAATAAATAAAATCTGTCCTTTCCAGCATCATTAACTTCTGCGCAGCAACTTTTCGTCTCCCCAAAGGGGTGTTTGGAAGCACTTGAAAGGATGTGCAAGTGCAACGTCTTCCTGTGGGGTGGGGCACAATATTCAGCTCGTGGAGCCAAAGTTTCCTGGCACATTTTGTTTGTTCACCAAAATCAGCAGGCGGTTTCAGCCAAGTGTTTGGCCTGAAACTAGTTGATATGGCTCTTGTTTGCCGCGAAAGGATCGTTGTGGGTTGCTTGGCTAGAAAACAGGTTATTAAAGGAAAACTGTTTTCGGACCTCTTGACTTTCAAAGGTTTTGTTCGTCCCTATCTCTTCAGTCAAGTTCGATCAAGATGTTTAGCTTTTTTTGGCATGGTGATGAGACCAACGTGGAACCTTTAATTGATATAACAAGACCAAACGGACAAATGGTCTCTGGACCTTTTAATTGATATAACAGGACCAAACGGGCGAATTTAAGAGAATATTTTCTACCGAATATTCAATCTATACTAGTATTTTTGAAATACATTTGAGAGAGTAACGTTTGTTTTAGTAAATATTTATAAAAAATACCATTTGATCAATAGGCGACATGCGCTATGACCAAGCTCTACAAACATGGTTTGCCTCTCAAGCTTTAGAAGTTCGAAAACAAAACAAAAAATCTCAGCCATTTTTAAATGCTATGTTTTCTCTAAAACTCTGTCTCTCAATTTTATGCTCTGCTATTTCTTTTTCAAACTATCAAAAGGGTGCTGATGTAAAAAGTATATTTTTTTTCTTGAATATAATTTAACATTTTATTCAAAAAAAAACATGTTGAAATTATGTTAAAAGAATTAAAATCAGGTAAGTTTAAGAGAGTTTCTCAGTTAGTATTTTAGTAAATTTGTAATTTTTGATACAATTAGAAAACATCAGGTAAATATGAATTCTACTAATTAGAAAACATACTCTAGAATATAATTGGTTTGTAAAGAAAATTGGAAACATTACCTAAAATAAAAGAAAAAAGTTCTTTAAAAAACATCACTTAGAGTGATAAAAAGAGAGTATATCAAGAGAAAGTAACAATAGAATATGAAAAATAAATTAGAGTAAATGCATTCGGAAATGTAATATTAATAGAATAAACATATAGATTCATTAAAAATAACAAAATATAAATGAATTTCAACATAAAAGATGACTATTAGTGAAAGTTTATGTGTTTGGATAAATTGTTTGGATGGATGATAAAAAAAAATTGATTAGTTTTTTTTTGGTATGAAAAAGAATTGATTAGTTAGAATGTTAATGAATTCATTTAGGTAAGTTTTTTTTTTCGAAATATAAATATATATCTAAACATGTTCATTTATATAAATATGTTGAAAAGAATTAAAATAGTTAAATCAAACGAATTTAAATCAGGTAAATTTAAGAGTGTTTCTCAATTAGTATTTTAATAATATTTTGATTACAATTATTTTGGAAATTTATAGAGTCATATACAAAAATTTCATATTGTTATTTGTTAGTATCTAATCAAAACGGCACGGTGTGCTATGGTATAATAAATAAACGTCACGGTGTGCTATGCTATAGTGCATAAACGGCACACGCAAACCAGATGCGTTTATAGAGCACAGTAGTGAAAAGTTTGCACCCAAAAAAAAAAAAAAAAAAAGAGATAGACGAGCGGATGCCCTAGCTCTCCGTCGGCGTCTCCTTGTTCCTTTCGGTAAGCTCTCTCAGATCGATCTTTTAGATCTCTGTTCCACTAACTCCGTTGATTTTGTTTAGATTCTGTAGTAGATTCGTCTCTAGGTCGCTCCTTAATTCTGTTCCACATGCTCCTCTTTTGTAGATTGTGGACTTGCCGTGCGTCTCCTCTTTTGGCTTATCACACCTCTTACTCGCATCAGGTAAGTAGTTTGGTTCAGATTTAGTGACTCTCACCGCTTTAGTTTCAAAGCTTATTAGCTCTCTGGGTCTCTGTTTTGATTGATTTCTAGCCTCCGAAGAGCCTTGGAATGCTTTACCCTATTAGCAACTACTGCAATTTATCTGAAAGTGTATCTTATTTTTCATCTTTGTATCAACATCATAGTTACTCTCTTGCATATTCCTATTCTGTTGTTGTTAGCAACTGCAATTTTGCTGAAAGTGCATCTTATTTTTCGTTCTGCATTAACATCATAATTATAGTTAGTCTCTGTGCTTTGTTTGGATTGATTTCTAGCCTTTCCATTGGTTACGATGGACCCTAGTAGCAACTACTGCAAATTAGCTGAAAGTCTATCTTATTATTCGTCTTTCTATTAACATCATAGTTATAGTTAGTCTCTTTTCTTTGTTTGACTTGATTTCTAGCCTCCAACTTGCAGCTTCACTTCTCTCTTCTCCATGGCTCCAAAGAAAAGGAAAGCTTCTGCTATCGAATCAGAGGAGGGATCTGAGGTATTTTAATATACTCTTCTAAGCTTATGTTTAAACAGTGCTGTATTGATTTTCTTTAAAACTCTTTTTTTTCTTCCAATCAATGTAGAAAATGGAGCAAATGAAGAAAATTTTCGAGCAGTTTAAGGAAAAAATTAACGACTTAAACAAGGAGTTGCTAACTATTGCAGACCTTGACTTCTCTTCTCTTCACAAGGTAAAACAGTGATCTGAATTTGTTTATACAATTTTACATGTATGACATCTTTTGATGTTCTGATTTGTGTAGTCGAATTCGGGTGCTGCTGAATTTCTCTTATCTTGGAGATCCAAGAAGCCCGAATTAATTAATGATCATTCCGTTCAACTAAAAGGTTTGCCATTCATCAAAATACATATGCCTATACTACTAGTATTTAGTGATATGATTAACATGTTTTTTTTAATGAAAAATCAGATGAATGTTGGGCTCATGCCTTTGCTCGAGGCTTATCTGCCGCCATGAAGCAACGTGGATGTACCGACAACTTTCCAACTGCAGAGTTGCTGGTGAAACAGATCGATAGGAGGTGTTTATCAAAAAGTAATGCACTCATCAAGTCCATCAATGCTGCCCCTTCATTGCGTGAATTTTATGGCTGCGATTTGGTCGTGCATCATCGTCCAAAGATGACATTGCTCAAGGAGAATGAAGAGTTTGAGAGGTTTATAGAGCGGAGATTAGCCATAGGTCAAGTGGCTATGTGTTTCCCCTATTTGCCAGGCTATTCTCGTTTCAATCATAAAAATAAAGTAAGTTTTCTAATCTTTATTCAAGTTTATCCAATTTATTCGTCTTCGTATTAACATCATAGTTACTCTCTGTGCTTTGGCCTCATAATTTCTTCTACTAGCATTAGTAAAGCTTCTTCACATGAGCATGACAATTACCTTGAGCTTAAGTAATAGAGTATTGCAATCTTTGAACCTTTTGAATCGTTATAATTTTCATGCTATACGTGTTAGATACTGTGATTTTGTTTTCTTCTTTTGTTTAAGAATTGATAAAAAGTAGATGACTGTCTAAAATTTGATATCACCTCTCTTATGTTGGTAGACTTATGTTGTGTATCTAACTTGCAGCCGTACGTGAAGCAATCTTTTTTACTTCACTTCTCTCTTCTCAATGTCTAGCTGATACATGCTTAATTTTTTCAGGCAGTTTTCAGGCCAAATGCCATTGACATCCAGGCTATGCGGTACGAGCTTTTAGACGACCACTGTGCCGTTATAACCGGTCGTGGAGTGCTTTTTGAAAATGGTAAGGCTATCGAGTTTTGGGAGATTCAGGAAACCCGGGGACCTCATTTTGCAGATGGCGGTTATACCCGATTGGAACGTTACAAAGGGCTAATCACAGAAGTTTATGAATTTAAGGTAAACATGTTTGCTTTTTTATTCCCTTGCAATAAACTGTGAATATGGTTTTATCATATAAATATTTATTGATTTAGTTCTTTTTTGTTTCAGTTTGATCGTCCTTAAGGGCCTACACGAACCAATGTCTAGCTTTGCAGAAAAGAGTTGAAAGGCATTTTTGTTTTCTAGTCTCTGTTGTGTGACCTGTGAAACACGATAAGACCTTTTTTTTTTTATTTTGTCGACAACTATTTTCATTAAACCCATAAATGAGTTACAATGTGAAAGGAGCCCAACTACAAAATTTTAAAGCCCAATTAACCCAACACAATAAAACAAAGAACAACAAAATGTAGGCTTGGCCAAATAAACCGAACTGAATGTACCGAACCGAAACCGAAGTAAAAATCGAACCGAACAGAAAAATTTGAAAATAACCGAATGGATACTAAATTCTATAACCGTAACCGAATCGGTACCGAACCGAAATACCCGAAATATAATTATATTTTCAAAATAATTAGTTATTTATAGACCAATTAATCAAAAATACTTGAAATATATATAAAAATAGTAAAAATATTCGAAAATAACCGAAATATATCCAAAAATATAGGAAAATACTCAAAAGTAACCGAAATATCCAAAAATATCCTAAGCAAAATAACTGAATGGATACTAAATTTTAAAACCGAAAGAACCGGAACGGAACCGAAACCGAACCAAAATTTTAAAATATCCGAATGGATAATAAATTTTGAAACCGAAAAAAACGAAACCGAATGGACCCAACCGATAAACGAACGGTAAACCGAAATCCTAGGCCTAACAAAATGGGTCAAGGCTTGTAGTCGGATCCGTTGGATTTCAGCTTTGACTCCGAAATTCACCATAAGCCTTTTTGCAGTTTTCTCCGAGCATGAATAATAGAAACTTGGATCTTCAAATCCGTTAATTCCCGGAAGACGCGAGAAGGTAAGATATCAGATTAGTCGCAAAACACGCTCTCCTAATCCGTTCTTCACCAGCCACCGGATTCCACTCACCACGATTCACAAACCCAAGGAGAAACCGTCATCCAACGCCGATCTTACGGCCCCAATAGGGGTATGAGGATTTACTCTCCTCAAGAATGGAAACGAGCAATCTGATGATCCCGAAGCTTCTAACCTCCCACTTAAAAATTTAATACCTGGCGGATATCCGGATCCGGATCTTTATGTTATTAAAACAAATAAACTGATTGGGCCAACTAATGGGCTATTCGAGTGGGTTGTGAGTCCAATACAGTTACAAAAACTGTAGGATTTAGTGGCTATTTATAACACTTGGAGAGGAAAAAATGAGTTTACGTAACCGATGAGGGACAAATGTCAAGCGGAGAATGTTGTTTACATATGATATGAAGCGGTTCTGTACGAACTTTTCATGCCTGATTATCCGCTGTTACATTAGCACTATGATTATGAGATTTTCTATCAATTAATATTTCCTCAAGGTCCAAAAACCACAATCTAATAATTATCGTTTATAGTACTTAAGGGTCGAATCCACAGATAACTAGAGATCTAAGACACTAAGAATACACAAAATGAGTTTACGTAACCGATGTGGGACAAATGTCAAAAAGCAAAGAGAAAATACTAAGTCCCACATCGATAAGCTATGAAAATAGTCTTCTCCCACGTTTTTATACTCCCTATGTTCCATAAAATTTGATGTCAAGGGTTTTTCACACAAACTATAAAAAATTAACTTTTATAGTTTTTGATTATTATTTTGTTTGTTTAACAATATTAATTTTATTTCTCTCTTTTCTCTATTGGTTACAAATAAAAGTAATAATAGTATTGACACAAAAGATCAATTTTTGTGTAACAAGAAAAAAAACCCACAACATCAATTTTCATGGAACATGAGTATATGAGTTTGTAAGCTCGTTATTATCTATCATCTTTGTTTTCAAATATTTGTTTTGAAATATTAAATTATAGAATGATTTCATATATATCTTAATAATACTTCTATGTAACGGATATTTATCCAGATATCCGTTTTGAGCGGATCCATGATTATATTATTCAGATCCAGATCCGTAACGGTTAATTTTTTTTTTCTAAAATAGCTAATATTTGTTTTTCATCCAAAATTAATTAGAGCCCAAAAAAACCATTCCTGGAGAATTTTGTTTACATATGTGATATGAAGCGGTTCTGTACGAACATTTCGTGCCTGATTATCCGCTGTTACATTAGCACTACGAGATATTAAAGATAAAAAAGAAGGTTGAGAATTTTTCCTTGTCGCTCTGAAATCTCTCCAAATACACTGAAAACGCCGGCCATTCGGTTGGAAAAAACACCATCTTCACCAAATCAGAACAATCTGTAAAGAACGCTACCTCTTGATTATCTGCACCAATCATACACTTCATCTCCCAGAGATGGGCCTCGACTTCTGTATGTAGTGGAGATAGACTTCTACGGAGGTTGGCAGCTCCCATGGTTGGCGGCTTTTCATTTAATGATGTACAGAACCACCCTGTACCGAAGAACTTATCATTTCCTTTCCATGATCTATCCATAAAGTAACGGTGTCCAGAATAATTCGAATCAAGTGAATCATCTCTCACTGGAGATCGAGTTACCAAATCCACATAACCATGATTTTCATTATGAAGCTCGATTTGAGCTGACTGCCACAATTGTGCCTCTTTTTCCTCTAACCGTAATACCTCTAACGGGTCTTTTTCTATATTTCAAAGATTTTTTCATTCCTTGTTTTCCAAATATACCAGATAATCCATGGAAAGGCTGATGAATCGAATTCCAAAGGTATTCTCCAAAATAAGTGATCCAAACTCGCAAAATAGATTATGTGGGAAAATTTCCCATAGCAGTAGGAATCTATGAAAGCGCATAAATCTATCGTGCTGGATGGCACTGAAAGAGTGTATGATTGATCGTTTTCTCTGATGTGCCACATCTGGCACATCCTTTGTCACAGTTATTTCCTCTTTTCCGCAAATTCTCTCTAACCGGTACACAACTCGTTAAGATTTACCACAAGAAATGGCGTACCTTAGGTGGACACTGCACTTCCGAAGAATGTGATTTTAGCGGTTTGATGTCTGGGCCAATAAAAGATATATTGGTCTCCAACTTTTCTATTCGTGTGGTGTGATTTCCCGACTTGACTGTATATTTTCCAGATTTAGTAAAATGCCAACCAGAGTATCTTCCTTAGTTGGCGCACCCACAGGTAGGGCACTTATTAGCTCGACTTCTTCTGGAACAAAGATCGTCTTTAAGAGATCAAGATTCCAAAAGTTCGACCGACTATCTATAAGATTGTTAACTTTTAAAGATGGATCAATAATTGAGCCATTACTTTTTGCTGGTCTCGGGAATTGAGCTGGAATCCAGGGATCCTCCCAAACTGAGATGGATGTCCCAGAGATCTAGCTGAGCATATACTCCGCTATCCATATGATGGGAAATATGATTTTACATTTTCCAAAGGATTGAATTTCCGAAAATACCGCCCTTTAAAAACCCTCGCGAAAAGAGAATCTAGGACCGTAATCAACCGCTATAATTGTTTTCCTAATAAGACTGAATTAAAATTGTCTACATTCCAAAATCCTAGTCCCCCTTCCGATTTACTATTGTACAATTTATTCTAGGCCATCCAGTGCATGCTTCTGGAATCACCATTTGAACTCCACCAAAAATTAGCAACCGCATCCGTAAGTTTACAAGTGATTGTTTTAGGTAGTCTGAAGCATGACATAACATAAGTTGGTAATACTACAGCTACCGATTTAATCATCACTTATTTTCCACCCTTCGATAAAAATTTGGTCGACCATCCGTTAATTCTTGTTTGTAATCTATCTCTAACAAAAGAGAATTTTTTTTTTATCTTAGAGCTACCTAAACTCTCCGACAATCTGAGATAAGAATCCATACCACCGATATTAGTAATGCTCAAGGTAATTTTGATCTCTTCCTTGATATCATCTACTTTATGTCCAAACTGAATAGAGAATTTTAAAAACTTTATCTGTTGTCCCGAGACCGCTTTATACTTCTTTAAAATTCCCAAGATTACCCCACACTGCTCCTTATTTGCCTTACAAAAAAATAAACTATCATCCGCAAATAACAGATGTGAAACCGAAGGACTTGCATTTGCTACTTTGATACAAAATTTTTTCCGTTCTGCTTTTCGAATATTCGCAAATAGCACTTCTGTTTAAAGGATGAATAAATATGGCGATAGCGGGTCTCCTTGTCGTAATCCCCTCTTCGGTACTATTAATCCTCTCGGTTGTCCGTTAAGGAGAACTCTATATTGGACTGTTGTAATACACCACATTATCTAGTTAATCTATTTTTCACAAAAACCCAATTTTCTTAATACCTTCTCAATGAAAATCCATTCCACCCTATCATAAGCGTTACTCATATCCGTTTTAATAGACAAATGTTAGTCGTATTTAACCGTTTGTCGAAGATTCCATCTTCTAAAAAGAGTTCACCAGAAAAAGAAGATTTGCTTTAATGGTAACCCAAGCCTTTTGAAAAAATAAGGCTGTCATACCATCAGGCCTTGGAGCTTTTTCTAGATGCATCATAAACAGACCCGTTTTCACCTCACCCTCTATTGCGGGTGCCGTTAGATAATTATTAACTTGATCCGTAATCTGAAATTGAACTTCCGCCAAAGACTCCTCAAAGTCCTCCGACTTAGTTGTAGTAAACATATCCTTATAATAAGATACCGCTATATTTTGAATATTTTTATCCTCTACAAACCAAATCCCGTTTTCATCATATAACCCAGTAATTCGATTTCTTCCTCGTCTCTGTTTTGTTAGAGCATGAAAGTACTTTGAATTATTATCCCCTAATTGCATCCAAAAACTCTTACTTTACTGATGCCAATATAATTCCTCATCTCTATAAGTCTCTTTCACCCGCATTGTTAATTCTGTAATGTTCTCCCGAGGTCTCCTATCATCTCTCTGAGCCACATATAATTCCGATTGTAGTTCCTCAATTGTTTGCCGCCCATACGGAGTTAATTCTTTTCTCCACTACAAAATAGCCCTCTTACAGTTAGTCAGTTTTTTCCACAAATTTTCTCTCTCTTAATTCCATATCAGCATTCCAGCCATTTGAAATTGCTTCTAGTAATCCTTCCTTCTCAATCCATCTCTTATCAAACCTGAAATTCTTTTTTTCACGTGGTACCTTATCCAATAGCGTAGCTACCACCGGTGAATGGTCGGAAGCTACCATTGGTAAATATTCAACAAAACAATTGTAGAATAATTCATGCCAATCCTTGTTTGCTAAAGCTCTATCAAAATGACACCGTGATAGTTTTTTATCCTGTCAATCCCGCTAGGACAACCAATCTCCGATATATGGAGATTCCAAAAGACCACAATTTTAAATCATTAAACTAAAAAAGATAAAAGACGATGCATGTCTTAAATTACCACCTCTTTTCACCATGGTGTGTCCCTAGTCAAACCGATCCCAAACTTGATCTCTATTTTTTGGAACCGGGTCGCCATGAATGATAACATCGTATTTTTGTGATTGTAAACTCAGAGAAAACAGAATTGCACTGAATGATCTGATATATTAATCAAAGTCTTCCAATTCCTGTTATAGGGAATACAAGTACTGAAGCAAATAACTGACTCTCAAACAAAAAAGACGGACGCATGAGCTCCACTCGCTCAACTACAAGCTAAAGACTCGCTAAACTAAAATTGACCAAATCAAACGTGTGAGACCAATTCTCTTAGGTCTAGACTCGTGCAAACAACAAAGACTCAACAAACCGTCCCTTGAACTAAACCTTATCAAAAGGTCAGTTCACAATGCCCATTCCAAAAGCTTCTCAGATCCTTGCAAATGTCACCATCTTCAAAGGCTTTGTCATAATGTCTGCCGTCTGTTCATCCGTATTGCAATAGACGAGCTTAACAACTCCTTCTTTGGTTAAGTCCTTGAGAAAATGATAACGAACCTTGATGTGTTTGGATCTTCCGTGTAAAACCGCATTCTTCGACAACTTAATAGTGGATGTGTTATCACAAAACAGCACCATTTCACCGTCTTGTTCAAACCCAATCTCCTCCAGAACTTTTCCCATCTAGATTGCTTGACAAGCGCAGGTTGCTGCTGCTACATACTCTGCCTCCGTGATCGAGAATGTCACAATTGGTTGCTTCCGTGAAGAACACGCAACAGCTCCTCCACTCATATCAAGAACACGTAGCCCGGGGTGCTTTTGATGTCATCTATATCTCTTGCATAGTCACTGTCAGTGTAACCAAGGAGACCTATTCTTCCTTCTTTCTTGTACCACATGCCATACTCTAGAGTTCCACTTAGATATCGCATGATTCTCTTCACTGCGGCAAGATGCAACTAAGTTTGATTTGCCATGAACCGACTGATCAGACTTACAACAAACATTAAATCCGGACGAGTGGCTGTCAAGTACATCAAGCTTCTCACCATATGCTTGTATAGAGTTGAATCAATCTTCACGCCTGCTTCATCTCGACCAATCTTTTGTCCAGGAATTATTGGATTGCCGACTGGATTGAAATGCTGCATATCAAATCTTTCGGTCACTTCAGCTGCATATTTCCTTTGACATATGAAAATACCACTGTCCTTCTGCACCACTTCTATGCGAAGGAAATATCTCATCTTCCCATATCCGTCATATCAAACTCTTTCTTCATCGAAAGCTTGAATTCTTCTAGCAACTCAGCATCATCACTGGTGAACAATAAATCATCAACGTAAAAGCTAACAATCGTTTGGGTATTCAGGTCATTTATGGTTTGATTCCATTCTTTTGTTTCTTTAGTTTTAGAGTTTATGATCTATTTAAATATTTTAAAATTTTGGTTCGGTTTTGGTTTTGTTGAAGTTTTTTGTCATTTCAGTTCTAGAGTTTATGATCCATTTATTTTTTTTAATAGATATTTTGGATATTTTCGAGTATTTTTGGATATTTTTGGCTATTTTCGGATATTTTTTATATTTCTTTTTAAATTTTTTGGTCTAAAATAATTAATATTGTAGATATATAGTTATATTTCGGGTACTTTTGGATATCCAAAATATTACGGTTCGGTATCGATCGGTTTCAAAATTTTTTGTTCTAGAAATAAAGATCTATTAGGAAAATTTTAAATTTTTGGTTCGCTTCAGTTTAGTTCTTTTTGCTTCGATCGTGGTTGGGTACGTTCAGTTTAGTACCTTTTTTTTGGTAGGAACTTTCAGTTTAGTATCTATCCTTTTGTTTATTCTTTTGTTTCGTTTGGGGATAAATAAATTAACGATTATTAATTTAATTGTATGCGTATTAGAGAATACAAAGACACAAAAGTTTGGCCCACAAAAAACAGGTCCAGCCCACTAGAAAAAAAGAGGATTATACTTATCAGTCTAGGGATCTCGCCTCTCGATCCGAAACCTAGCCGCTTCGGCTTTTCAACTCATCTTTTCCATGGGCAAGGAGGGCAAGAGACTGAAGCGATGCTCCACATCCACCGATGTTGAAGCAGCAGATCATAAGGGCACGAAGTCTTTGCAGAAAGGTAGGAAATTTGGGTTTCTTTATTGCTCGAGGGTATTTTAACCCATCAGCATATAAAATCTGCTTATACAAGGCATATATGGATTTATTTTGGTGTTTTATGGTAACTTGAACTGTGTGTATTTTATTTTAAGCTGAAAGAGAGCTGCAGAATTCTGAGCCGGATGTAAATCCGAAGAAACTCAAGATGAAATCTGAGAGCAAGGTCAGAAACTTAACAAGTCATCTTTCTCTTAATTAACTTGAACTGTGTTGTATTGATCTTTTCTTAGGCTAATCAGTCGAAACTTAATATGTCCTCTCCCACATACTGTTTTTACTCTTTTCTGTAGCAAATTGATGAAGATGAGTTGGAACTCAAGAAGACATCTGAGAAGACGGTAAGGTTCTGAAGGAAGTTAATGTTTTTTTTTTAATCATTCATCCATGATCCACTATTTACTTGAAATGATAACTTTGAACTAAGAATGCTTCGATTCTGTATTTGTCTCCACGACAAGACAATTGAGTTTTTCTAATTCATTTTTCTTGTAATCGAATGGCAGGAAATGAAAAAATTGAGGAAATCTTTCGAAGAGATGACTGAAACTATGAAAAACCTGCAGGATTTTTTCCTGGGAAAGGCTGATCTACTGGGGCCTTCATTGAAGGTATATGTTTCTTTAATAATAACGTATAAGTTTTGGTTACTAGGAATCTCTGTTGCTGACTGACTAAAACTATGAAAAAACTGCAGGAGATGTTTCTGTCCAAGGTCCCCTATACTTCATTCAAGGTAAAAGCACATCTCTTTGTTTATAGCTCTTGCATCTGTATTGTAGGCTGAGAAATGATGATACTTTACACACTTTATAGCTGATTTAGTTTCTACTGACTTGACTCCAAAGAAATCTGGTTTTTGTCTGTACGTAGGAGGAAGAACCCCTAGAGAAAACAGAGGAATTGGCAACACATGAGTGCAATTTTGAAACTGATGATTCGGATGGAAACAACGAATATACTGTTTTCGTTAGGGGACTGGATACTTCCCTTCCTAGGGTTGATATCAAGAACGCATTGTGGAAGCATTTTGAGTCATGTGGATGTGAAGTCACAAGGGTTTATGTTCCCATAGAGTGTCAAACCGGTGTTCCCTTAGGGTTTGCGACTTGTTCCTCTCCAATATATTTTTTACTTTAATACCATTTAAGATTGACCCTTGTGTTAATTCTTTTTACAGATTTGCTTTCATTGATGTGGATGATGAAGAAAAGGCCTTAGATCTCGGTAGAGGTTACATGGGAAGATGCTGGCTTTATGTTATGATGGCTATACATCAACCGGAATACGATAAGCTCCCTAACTTTAGCGGCTGTGAACATTGCGGTACTTTTCTTTTGGAGCGCCGTAAGAAAAGATTCCTCGCTAGGCCGCGGTGTTAGCCTTATTGGTCCCTCTGCTACATGTTTATCCACCGGATGAAACTTTTTATTTGTTTATTTTTATGTGTTGTGAGAAACTTATATTATGACTTGTACTATTTAGTTGCAAAACTTAGGTTTGAATTCTGCGGTTTAATTTATGTTTACATTAATGGATAATGAATATTAGGAATTTGCTTTAGCTTTCCGAGCGCAGAGAACATAGTGTTGTACGCTTTGTAGCTTCATGAATAGTATCAGTAACTACACCTTTCTCATGAATCTTGCTTAACATCTCTACAGCTTCAACGGTTTTGCCCTTCCCCGCACAAACTCTCTAGTCTCTAACACCGACATGTTGCTATTTCTCTCTCCTTTCATAGGGAAGTTTTACGTATCACAAAATATCCGTTGAGTCTCACATACCGTCACATAACACTTTTGACATCCAATCTGATGAGCTCCTCACTCATGACTTATCATTCTATTTACTCTCCAAAAATCTAACATACTCTCATACTCTTAATGAAATACAAAACCTTTATTTTACTCTTAGAAAATCAAATTTAATAATAAATAACAAAAACAATTTGACCAATCATAAGCTATTATTTCGACCAATGAAAACTGACTGCTCCGACCAATCATAGCATTCCATGTCAGTCCGTATTTGTGTATTTGTGTATGTAATTAATTTTTCGTACTATATATTTTGTACAACTTGGTAAAACTTGGTTTCTCAATGAGACAACTACAACATATTGTGGATTATATCTCGGCTACAAATTATGATCGTGTTCACAGTTTCTTGGCGAGAAACATCTTCCAAATTACGGTTCACACTATTTGAAGAGAGCGGAATGCAAGACATCATGGAAAAGTACCACATCCTCCAACAACCCTAATCCGTTGTATCGATAAGCATGTTCGCAACCAACTACCGGTTATTTGATCAATAGGCGACATGCGCTATGACCAAGCTCTACAAACATGGTTTGCCTCTCAAGCTTTAGAAGTTCGAAAACAAAACAAAAAATCTCAGCCATTTTTAAATGCTATGTTTTCTCTAAAACTCTGTCTCTCAATTTTATGCTCTGCTATTTCTTTTTCAAACTATCAAAAGGGTGCTGATGTAAAAAGTATATGTTTTTTCTTGAATATAATTTAACATTTTATTCAAAAAAAAACATGTTGAAATTATGTTAAAAGAATTAAAATCAGGTAAGTTTAAGAGAGTTTCTCAGTTAGTATTTTAGTAAATTTGTAATTTTTGATACAATTAGAAAACATCAGGTAAATATGAATTCTACTAATTAGAAAACATACTCTAGAATATAATTGGTTTGTAAAGAAAATTGGAAACATTACCTAAAATAAAAGAAAAAAGTTCTTTAAAAAACATCACTTAGAGTGATAAAAAGAGAGTATATCAAGAGAAAGTAACAATAGAATATGAAAAATAAATTAGAGTAAATGCATTCGGAAATGTAATATTAATAGAATAAACATATAGATTCATTAAAAATAACAAAATATAAATGAATTTCAACATAAAAGATGACTATTAGTGAAAGTTTATGTGTTTGGATAAATTGTTTGGATGGATGATAAAAAAAAATTGATTAGTTTTTTTTTGGTATGAAAAAGAATTGATTAGTTAGAATGTTAATGAATTCATTTAGGTAAGTTTTTTTTTTCGAAATATAAATATATATCTAAACATGTTCATTTATATAAATATGTTGAAAAGAATTAAAATAGTTAAATCAAACGAATTTAAATCAGGTAAATTTAAGAGTGTTTCTCAATTAGTATTTTAATAATATTTTGATTACAATTATTTTGGAAATTTATAGAGTCATATACAAAAATTTCATATTGTTATTTGTTAGTATCTAATCAAAACGGCACGGTGTGCTATGGTATAATAAATAAACGTCACGGTGTGCTATGCTATAGTGCATAAACGGCACACGCAAACCAGATGCGTTTATAGAGCACAGTAGTGAAAAGTTTGCACCCAAAAAAAAAAAAAAAAAAAGAGATAGACGAGCGGATGCCCTAGCTCTCCGTCGGCGTCTCCTTGTTCCTTTCGGTAAGCTCTCTCAGATCGATCTTTTAGATCTCTGTTCCACTAACTCCGTTGATTTTGTTTAGATTCTGTAGTAGATTCGTCTCTAGGTCGCTCCTTAATTCTGTTCCACATGCTCCTCTTTTGTAGATTGTGGACTTGCCGTGCGTCTCCTCTTTTGGCTTATCACACCTCTTACTCGCATCAGGTAAGTAGTTTGGTTCAGATTTAGTGACTCTCACCGCTTTAGTTTCAAAGCTTATTAGCTCTCTGGGTCTCTGTTTTGATTGATTTCTAGCCTCCGAAGAGCCTTGGAATGCTTTACCCTATTAGCAACTACTGCAATTTATCTGAAAGTGTATCTTATTTTTCATCTTTGTATCAACATCATAGTTACCGTCGTTGCCCATTT